GGGGGGGGGGCCCTGGGCTGGTTGTCTAACGTGGGCCTCTGCTGCCACCTCTGCTCTAGTTCCAGCACTGCAGCCACTTCTTCCAGATGAAGAACATCTCGTTCTGCGGCTGCCACCCCCGCAACAGCTGGTACGAGACTCCTCCGTCCCCTGGTCCCCTTGAACCCTGAGGGCTGTGCATTCACCATCCCACCCTCTCACCCGCACCCACTTGGCTTCAGGAGTTGAGTCCCTACATGGCGCCCACTCTGTTCTGGGCCCAGGACACCTGGATCAGACAGGCTCCCATCTGGTCTGGGTGGGGAGACAGACATACATTCAAGCGAGTGCTCAAAGCACTCGTGGGGCTCTGGTGGACATGTGCATGGGGCTGCAGTGAGCAGACCTGCAGGGAGGCGGGCGAATTCTCCTGGGACTTAGCGGGGTGGCTGAAGACCACTCTACAAACCTTGAAAGGCAAGTGGGTGACAGGGTGGATCTTCTTGGCAGGGAGCCGGCTGAGCCAGGGCTGTGGGCAAGGCGCACTAGGGGCTCCTTGGGGGCAGCTGGGTAAGGCCGGAGGGACACTAAGAGCACCTGTGTCCTTCTGACTATGCCAGGGAGCTTATACTTAATCCCGTTGGTGATGGGGTCATGGGGTGACACAGTCAGGTTGACAGGCTGCCTCTGGCTGCTGTGCAGAGTGGAAGGACCCAAGTGCTGCTGGCAGGAGACCAGGTGGCTGCTGAGGTTATCCAGGTGCTGTGACCTAGTGGCATTTAGGAGGTGGGCAGTCAGGACCTGAGTTGATTGGATGTGGAGGCTGACCTGGAGAGAGAATCAAGGGTGATCTGGGTGTTGAGCAGTTAGTAACCCACGCACCAAGAGAAGAGGCCTGGAGTGAGTGGGCCTCGCAGGCTGGCGACGCCGTGTTCAATCCTGAGGCAGTGAGGGTGAAGTGGCCGTTGCTACGTGGTCTGGAGTGTGGAAGGGAGACCTGGGGGGAGGTGCGTTCGGAGCCGGTAGGTAACTTCGGCCGTGGGGCAGACAGGATAGCCAGGCAGAGAGAGGAGAGACGGGAGCGAAAGGGAAGCGTAACCAGCGGATGGAGGGCTACAGCCTTCCTGCCCAGCCGGCCTCCTGCGCACGGGATGCCAGTGCCCTAGATGAAGCGACAGGAGGAGCTAACCTGCGACGCAGACAGAGCCAAGCAGAGGCTCCGAAGGGCCCAGTGGTATTTGAGGAAGCAGGTCCTCAGGGGAGGCAGGATGTGGGAAGGACACACTGCTGCTGGGGCTGAGGCTTGTGACATACTGAGGCCGGCATGTGTGTCACCTGGACACTTGTGGTAAGAGTGAGGGGCGCTCTGTCTGCTGGCTGGGCGACGGTGTCCACCCTCAGCCGGGTCAGAGCCCAGTTTGGCTTCTCCCTTGAGAGGGAGTTGGTTTGATGGGATCACAGTTTAGATGCTGCTCTGAGGGGTGGAGGGCCAGGGCTCAGAACAGGTGGCGGGGCAGATCTGGCACCATGAGGACCAGTGTGCACGGTGGCCCACGGACAGTGGGCTGAGGGTGGCACACGCGAGAGGAGGGACAGCAGAGGGAAACTGGGTGCCACAGGCTCAGGCGTCCAGGCCAGACGCTGACCCAGATGCAGTTCCGTGGCCAGGAGGGGACCGAGGAGGTGCTGTCCTGGCCCAGACTTAACTGGTACATGTTAGTGCAGAACTCAGCCCAGGCCGCACAGTGAGGGGCCACAAGGAGCCAATGTCAGGCATCTTGCTGTGAAGCGGGCTGGATTAGGCACGTGCTGGGGCACGCTGTGTCCGGATAAGGTGGGAGCATGTGGCGTGTGAGATCACGGGCGGCTGAGAGCACTCCCAGGGCGCTACAGACCGGCTGTGTTTCCGACGCCCTCATCTGGAGACCCACCGCCCAGGGCCGTTGTGAGGTTTATGGGAGTTAATGACATAAAGAGCTTTGCTGAGGACGGTTCCTGGCACTCCCCGTGAACGGGATCATCTGAGCGTGGCATTCAAGACAAGGCTGTGACGTGTACGTGGCCAACATGAGCACGTTGTCCCAGCGATGATGCTGTTGTGTGGATTCCCATCTGGTGCAACCGCAAAACCCTAATCCCACCTGATGTGGGCTGCATTAGCCACAGTTGGGGGGTGGGTCTCAACCCTCCTGCTGCAGGATTCTGGCAGTTCCTCCCTCTGGACAATAATTTTTATTAATGTCTGGATGAGAAGAAGGGCAGGTTCAGGAAGGGCACATGTGGAACAGAGCTGGGGGCACACGTGGAACAGCGCTGGGCGCACACGTGGAACAGCGCTGGGGGCACACGTGGAACAGCGCTGGGGGCACACGTGGAACAGCGCTGGGGGCACACGTGGAACAGCGCTGGGGGCACAGAGCCAGGGTACAAGTTTCTTCAGGAAGACTGTTCTACGCGTCAGGGCCCATGTCAAGCCCCACATCAGAGACCAGAAAACAGCTGTGGGTTTGCAGGACCAGAGATGGGACTGGGCAGGCTCAGGGTGTCAGGTGACATGACAAGGAAGAGTCAGCTGAGATGTGGTGCCCAGAAGACGGGGAGGCCTTGCTCTGTGGTCCAAGGGCAGGCTTTGGGTGGGTGGGGGGCCACAGAGGCAGCTGGCACTGTCTCGGGAGAAGGAAGATGCAGTGGGACGCCCTTGTCGTGGACAGATGAGCACAGATTGCTAACTCCTCACAGATGCCCAGCGCTGTGCTCTGATGAGGACCCAGAAAGGGGCCTCGAATCTTGAAATCGTATGACCCGCACGTTCCCCAGCCCCACACGCCCTCCCTGAGCCCTCTGTCACTGCCTCTTCTCCCGGATCCCTGGGGGCTGAGGGGTGGACCCGCGCCCTGACGTCCCCGTGTGCTCACCGCCGCGCTCCCCGCAGCTATTTTGGCTTCATCACCAAGCACCCGCTGCTGAGCCGTTTTGCCTGCCACGTTTTCGTCTCCCAGGAGTCGATGAGGCCCGTGGCCCAGAGTGTGGGGTGAGTGGGTCCGGAGGGTGGGTTGCAGGGTTAGGGCTGGGCCAGTGTGGAGTGACGGCTGGGACTGGGGTGGGGATGCAGAACCCGTGCAGCCGTTCCCCGGGGGGTGAGCAGGCTGGGAGGAGGGATGGAGATGAAGTCTGGGGAGACAGGGGAGGGGAAGGGAGGGAAGGCCAGATGACTGGTGGTGGTGGAGGGCTGGGAAGGTGGGGGGGCAGGAGCGTGGAGAGGAGTCCTGGGCGTGGGACCGGCACGGGCACACTGACCACGGGGCTGGGGGTGGGAAGGCAGCATTGAGGCTAGACCGTAAGGAAAAGGGGCCGGGCCAGGAGGGCTGGGGGGGCGTGGGCGGGCCTGGGGAGCCTGGAGCTGAGGCCGCTCTCTCCCCCAGCCGCGCCTTCCTGGAGTACTACCAGCGGCACCTGGAGTACGCCTGCCCCACAGAGGACATCTACCTGGAGTAGCCACCCGCCGCTCTCCCGCTCCGGGAGCGGCTGGGGCTGGGGGCACCTCATGCGGCCACCTCGGCTTTGGCAACGACTGGACTGGGGGCACGTGGGACCTGACATCTGGCGAGTCTCCGGGCTGTGCTGGGAACTCTCCTCGCCCCCCGGGGGCTGCTGAAGCGTGGAGCCTGCACCTTCGCTACCCCTGATCTGTTCTCTCTGTGTCGCCCTGGTCGGCCCTTGGCCTCCGTCTTCTCTCCTGTTTGTCTCTCCTCCTCTGTGCCTGCAAACTCTTGCCGTCCGCTCTTTACTTTGGGGTCAGAATTGGGAGGGGCGTGTGGAGGGAGCTCCCAGGTGATCCCCTCTTGCTTTTCCCGTGTGATTTATAAAGGAATTTTAATTTTTATAGTGAATATCAAGGGGTCATATCCCATCCTCACCATAGGGACAAAGAGAGGGCCCCCCCCATCGTGCCCCACGAGGAGCTCAGGGGTAAGCAGGGAGGGGTTCCCCAGTAGGGCCCTGCGGGAGACTCGGAGTCGTGGTCACCCCAAGCCCCAGACGCTGCTAGGAGGAGGGGGCCCCGGCCCAGGCCCCGGCCACACCAGCATCTGCTATGCCGCTGCAAACACTCCCCGCAGTCCAGCACCTCAATAAACTCTCTGCTTGGTGTGACCTTGGCTATTTCTGGGGTTGGGGGGAGAAGATAAGGGGCCAGGGGCCCAGGCACTGTCCATGGCAGTGGAGACCAAGACCCCAGGGTGATGGAATCAGGAGACGTTTCACCCCTTCAGTGCTCTCTGAAATCACGCCGGTGTCCCTGTGCGGCGCGCGGGGGGGGTGCTCTCCAAGTACACTTGCTTGACCAGCGAGGAAGCTGAGGCCAGACAGAGAGGTCACGCAACGTGTGTCCTTTCCACCTGCACTGGAGTGCCAGGCTGGGAAGTGTGTGCGTGCTCGTGAGTGTGCCCGCACGCTTGTGAGTGTGTATGTGAGAGAGAGCAGGCGTCAGTCCGCTTAGATCTTAAGATTAGTGTTTTAAAAATTCTCCACAGAAAGCCGGAAGAAAAGAGGTGACTGTCACGTGCCCTAGGTGATTACAGATGGTACCTCCTGGAGAAAGGGCTTCCCCAGCCCCCTGGCCCCGGTGAGCCCCAGCTCTCAGGTGCTGAGGTCAGCGCCTTTCTGAGGGTGGGCCTGCCCCCCTGCCCTATCCCCCCCGAGCCCAGGATGCCAGCAGCACCAGGAAGACAACAGGTGAGGGTTAAGAAATGAGAGTGAGAAAGGCCAATGTAGACAAATTCACTACATGAAGGTTGAAAACCACTGTCTATAGAAATCACACACCTCTACTCAAATTAAGGGCAACCAGCAAACAGAGAACATAGTCACGGGTTAGGAATCAGTAAATGACCACCCTTCAGCATTTGGGTAGCCCCGGCGCAGGCCAGGGTCCCCGACCCTGCAAGAAGACCGACCCAGCAGAACATCTACGAGAAAACTTTCCT